AGAATCTAATCAATATATTTAAAAGTAATGGCTATTGACCTCAGCTTTGGTTAGTTCTTAAAATGCTTTTTTACATTAGATAACCTTTTAATAACTTCCCCTTTATTATTTATGAAATTAAATATTTTTTATTTGCCATTGTTTCTCAGTGACATATCACACTAGCTTTATCATTCAGAGATTAAAACACTTGCCCATTCAATTATTTGAAATAATTGAATAGTAAGAGAATAGATATTTCCTTGTTTAAGCAAAGCAATACCATACTTACTCTTTATTGTTGGTATAAACCATTCTTTTACTGAAAGTGATTAGCTATTTAAAACTTGGTACATAAATTAAAGAGGATCTAAATGGATATGTGATTGTTGCCATTAGTAGCATTTTAGATTATACAGGCAATTATTGTGTTCATTATCGTAGAACAGCCCCTTTACAAAACTATTGAGTTTATCCTCTAACATTATGTACAAATTTTCCCTAAGAGATTAAAAATTCCAGTTGCAAATTTGATTTTGTCATCACAGTTGTCTGAAATAACACAAATATTATGGTAAGAATGAAAAAATATTCTATAGGTATTGAAGATTGCAAAAAAAATAAGAGAATTAAATTAGTATTAAATTTATTGTTAATGAAGTAATTTGCTTTGTTTTTGATAATTTAATACAGCATGACATGTTTTTGTAACTTTTACAAAATTAATTCCTTTTTAGTAAGAAGACAACATGAAATATCTGGGCAAATAACTTAGAAATTTAGACAATGTGGTACTGTTGCTATTTAGCATATCAGATAATCATGTGTATGTGTGTGTGTGTACATAATAGAAATGATAAAATAATAAACATGTGTATGGAAGAAGTGTTATTATACATGACCAGTCATATTAGCTAAGCAGATAAGTATCTCTAAAACCTTTTACATTAATTTTAAAGGATGCATAAACTTATTGAATGGGCTCTAAACTTGCATCCAAACCTGTCTCCGTCAATTAGGAAAGTTTTTATCCTTTTAGTTATCTACATATGTGTATCCAGCAGACTATGTATAACATTTGGGCCCATAAATGCCATTTCTCAAAGGAGACTTTGTGTTCCTTTCTGTCAGGTTTTGTCTTGGCTTTTACAGTCATTCAGAGCTATGATACAGCAAGAAAAGTGTGAGGTACTGGTTATGCATATTGCAAGACAGTGATTCTTTATTGTATTACAAAAAAAAAAAAAAGCCCAACTCTAGAAGGCCGATTAAATCATTCCTTTCACTTTTTAATGGGATTTGGATGAATAGAGTAAAATATGCACTTTGCATTCATTGATAGCATCTTTAGGTTGAGGTAATTGAGTCTTTTTTCCCTGACTGAATGAATAATGACTTCATCTGATCCTCAGCGAGGCCTGAAACTTAGACTGCCTTTGTCAACGCAAAAAGATCAGGGCTTTGAAACATGCTCTACTTCCCTGGCTTAATTTTTCTTCATTTTAATCCAGAAACCTATTTTTCTCAATAATTCAAGCATAAACTATGTAGTAGTCGAAGCAGCGGAAATTGCAAGATATTTGTCCTCGTTGTGCTGCTTTTTAAATGTAGTTGATAAATCAGCCACTGTGGTCTTCAGCTGCCTAGTTCTCAAGGGAAGGTACTGCCCATAAACAAGAATGAATGCTGAACTTTCCAGAAGTATTTTAATGCTATTCTTATACATTTTTCTCCTTTTGGAATATTATGCCATATTTCTCTTTTTGACAAAAGCTAAACTTTCTCTGATATTTCTCTGTGGTATCATTGTCTTGACTATCTTATTGCAAAAGTTTCATCTAGAACTGCATATCCAAGCATCAACTGGTGTGACCTGTCCTTGAACTAGTATGAACTTATGATTTTTAAAGTAGAAAAATTTGAAATGTAATTGGAGAAATACCTTGAACCATTTTTACTTTTGTAACCCTTTTTTTTAATGTATCGAAAGCCAAATATATTGATTCAATTAAAGCTATGATAGTTCAACTGAATCCAATTAATTTCCGTGGAAACTAATCTATTACATTGATTTTACCATTCACTAATATGATCTAAACCTGAATATTTTATTGAAATCATTTAACTCTTACTTTAATTATAATTTCTATAATAATCCAAGTGGATAGGGAAGGTACTAAAATGTGCTAGGATTGGGGTAGGTTAATTTTTTGGTTAAATAAATACATTTTTGTGTTCTTTGTAATTATTGAAATTGAGTGAATTTTAAGGTTGGAACCAGGAATGGAAACAATCACTAGAAATACTCTTCTATATTATGGATTTGTATCTCCATCATGGGGCCTGGGAATCATGAAGGAATAGCAGATGTAAAGACCAGCAGGTTCAGCCTGAATTAATTGTGTAAGGAATTATATTATAGGATACTTTTATTACAGGAAAACCACAATCCTTAGTGGCTGGATTGTACTTCAATTTGTTGCCTCTCATCTGATCCATTAACATGAATAGGGTACAGTTAAAAATATCCACTGCTTTACCTGAGTTTGTTGAAAAGGAGAATGCTGGATGTCACATGCATGTCAGCACAACCACATCCCAAAATAATACCTCTCTAGAAATTTAATGTAGATCATGAACAGAATAAAATTGAACCCAGAATGCCATGCTTCCCTGCTACAAATCAGAGCTATAATAATTCAGCATTACCTTCTGGACGAAGCCAATCAAGTAGCACCATATTGTACATCTGGCACTAGTTAATGCCAATTACTTTTCCCCGTTATTTTTTTAATTTATTAGATTTATATCCATATTTCCTTCAAGAGCTCAAGATATTGGTTCTCTGCATAACTTACACTGAACTTGGGCCTTTTCTTCTATGAAGTTATAGAGTTATGAAGTTATTTATGAATTATAATATCTAACACCTTGTTAGTCTTCCTCATCATTGGTTTGACATTATAATTATTATGGCATTTTTTCATCAAATTATGTTAAATAACGTAGAATCCAAGCTGAAATCTAGTGTTACTGAGGTAGTGCTATAAAGGAACTGGTTATTTGAAATCCTTTTATTTGTAAGTCTTTGTTTATGAAAAACAATTCTTTCCTTTTCTTAACAAGATTTCCTGTTTTCTCTTAGCAACAGTGCTCTGTTATAAAAACTGCTTTACTGCAAATTTTCTAACTGGATTTCACACAGAAACAGTATTCAGTGTTTTAAGAGTGGAAATACACTCACACAGGGGGTATTCTTATTAATCTCCCTCTTGCAGCCACTGCTCTGAAGGACTTCCCAGCCCTCTGAAGTGGTTTTATGGTTGTATGAGGGGAGCTACAGGAAGAGTGGAAATGTCCTCTTTCTGGTTCCAGTGATGGGTTGGATTCTACGCTCTATGTACTCAATTCTAAGAAGTGTTCATATAAGTATTTCCACATGAAGAACATTAATGCTGGCAAATATATTGTGTACTTTGCAAAACCCACATTGATGCTTCTGGCATATTGTGATATGATATATATCATCATGTAAGTTACATGAATTTCCTAATTTTTTGCTCTCTTAAACTCAGATAACAACAGTAGTAATCACAGGCTTTTATGTCATTCAGAGAATACCCAACAACCTGGGTTAAATTAATGGGATACCAATGAGAAAAACTACATAAAACAAAGAACAAAAATGAAAACAAAACAAAAAGAAAAGTGCCTGAAAATATGTAAAAATAAACCAGCTCCAGGAAAATTGAAAATTCTCTTCCTGCATGAAAATATTGAAGTAACTACATAACTTAATTGAAATCCTCTGTGTTTTCCTAAAAGCAGAGAATCAAAATGTGCTATCCATAGTATAGTACTCAAATGAAACAAAGATTCACACACAATTTTCATTTCTTTCACAACATACTTACATAGAACTTAGAAGTAATGTATGCACTGTGATTTCAAAGTGCATATACTATTTCTCAGTATAACTTAAACCACAGGATTATTATAAAGATAAAGACTAAATTGACTACATTATTAAAAAGTCAAAAATTAAAATAACCTTCCTCAGCATGTAAAATAACTTGCTATCCATTACATAACAGTTTACAGTCTGTGCATACTTACATGCTTTTACAGCAGAGACAGGCTTCCAGGACCCCCATCTGAAAGTTCATATTACAGAAATTGTCTAGGGAGCGAGAGAAATTCTGAAAACTTGCAGTATCCCATAAACTCATACTAAAATGTGAAAAGCACAACCATATAATTTCTAATTTGTCTTACAAATATGCTTCCATCTTTTTCATGAATGATAAATAATTCAAACTGCTATAATATCTAACCCCTACATACCTCTATTTGAATTCATGTGGGGTTATGAAGATCTCAGCACCTCTGTATGCACTAATATATAAAATATTGGTGTAAGATACATTTATTTGCACTGTCAGGGATTTTTAAAGTTAGGAATTCAATTAAAAATCATTTATGTATGTAACACGCTAAAAAAGGATGAAATCATGTCATTAATGTTACCTATTATTTTTGGTTATATAGACTTGCCCAATCACAGTTATAATTTTTAATAAATGAAAAAGCTACAAGCCAATTTATAAAGACACAAATAAGCCTCAATTATTATGTTACTATCCTAACAATGTTCCCCAAATATATGGCATGGCTGTAACAAATGTAAGCATATAAAAACTGACTGATAGCAGTCTAATTTCCCCTACACTATTTGATAGTGCTTGAAAAGTATCCCATATTTTCCATAAAGACTATAGAATTGCCCCTCACCCCTTTTTTTTTAATTTGAAAGCTGACAATCTGAGCTAGATGTAGCAAAAAATGCTATAGCCTTTAGCACGTGAGATAATCTCACTGCATTCATATAAATCTCAAATATGTTCGGAAAGCAAAATCAATATATTCTTCTAATTGTTTATGTTTAGATATTTCACATAAACACAAAAAGTAGAAATGATTGTTCAGTTTTAGATATTAAATGTATATTGCTTCCTTTTTAGGTTGGTTTGCTGGATCTTGAATTGAATCAACTGACCAAAGCACTGTTCTTGGCTCTAGTTGCGCTTTCAGTTGTTATGGTAACCTTGCAAGGATTTGTGGGACCATGGTACCGCAATCTTTTTCGGTTTCTTCTCCTTTTTTCTTACATAATCCCAATCAGGTATGTACAAAATGAAAGAAAAATAGATATGATTTTTTTAAAAAGTAATTGCAGGTATTATTGTGAATAAAATTTATCTTGACAAGAGGCTATAGTTGGAAGATATGCTACATACTCTGTTAAGGGATCACTGTATAAAACTCTATGCTATTGTATCTTTTATTCATCTTGCTGGAATAATCCATGTATACCGTACAATATATTTACTTGCATTAATGTGTTTTTAAAATGTAAACTTATCAGAAAATACAATTTCTGGAAAGATGTGTATTTGGAAGATTTTATTTTGTTTAGATACCTTAATAATACTTTATTGGATTAAGAGTGTCTGTGCTATACTTTCAGGTACATTTTAAAAGGTTAAAAAAAAGGAATAAAGAGACAGAATCTTACAATTTTCAAAAATATTTAAAATTTTATTTTACTATACAGTGGTGCTTAAAAGTTTTTGAACCCTTTTGAGTGTTCAATTTTCTGTGAAAATATGACCTAAAATGTGATCTGTTCTCCACACAAATCATAAAACTAAATAAAGAGAGCCCAATTAAGTCAAAAACATTATACTTGTTCATTTATTTATTGAGGAAAATGATCCAAAACTACATATTTGTGTGTAGCAAAAGTAAGTGAATCTCTGCTTTCAATAACTGGTGTGCTCCCACTGGGCAGCAATAACTACAACTAAATATTTCCAATAACCACTGATCAGTCCTGCACATTGGATTAGAGGAATTTTAGCCCATTCTTCCTTACAGAACAGCTTCAACTCAGGGATATTGGTGGGCTTCTTCGCATGAACTGCCACAGTTCCTTCCACAATATTTCTATAGGATTAAGGTGAAGACTTTGACTTGGCCATTCCAAAATATTAAGTTTCTTCTGATTTAACCATTCTTTGGTCATACAACTTGTGTCTTTTGGGTCATTGTCTTGCTGCATGACTCACTTTCTCTTGAGCTTCAGTTCACAGATACCCTGACATTTTCCTGTAGAATTTGCTGGTACAATTCAGAGTTCATACTTCCATCAATGATGGCAAGCTATCCTGGTTCAGAGACAGCAAAGCAGATCCAAATCATCATATTGCCACCACGTTTCACAGATGGGATAAGGTTCTTATGCTGGAATGCAGTGTTTACCTTTCGCCAAACATAACACTTTTTATTCAAGCCAAAGTTGAATGAAAAGTTCTATTTTGGTCTCATCCATCCATAGAACATTCTTCCAATAGCCTTCTGGCTTATCCATGTGGCCTTTTGCAAACTGTGGACAGGCAGCAATGTTCTTTTTGGAGAGTTGTGGCTTTCTCCTTGCAACTCTGCTATGCACACCATTGTTGTTCAGTGTTCTCCTGATGGTGGTCTCATGAGCACTGATATTCTCCAATGCAAGAGAGGCCTTTAGTTCCTTAGACGTTACTCTGGGGTTCTTTAAGACCTCCCAGAGTATGGCATGCCTTGCTCTTGGTGTGATCTTGGTCGGTCGACCATTGCTAGGAAAGGTAACAATGGTGTTGAACTGCCTCTGTTTGTACATGATCTGCCTGGCAGTGGACTGGTGGAGTGCAAACTTCTTGGAAATCATTTTGTATCCTTTTCCAGTCTGGTAAGCATCAACAACGGTTTTCCTCAGAAATCCCCTTTGTTCAAACCATGACATACTTCACATATTTTTGTGGTGAAGATCAGACTTTGATAGTGAATACCCTGAATTCTGTTTTTTAAATAGGTAGGACCTCCCACATTCACACCTGATTATCATCCCATTGATTGAAACTCCTGACTCTAATTTCCCCTTCGAATGAATTGATAATCCTAGAGATTCACCTACTTTTGCCACACACAAATATGTAGCTTTGGATCATTTTCCTCAATAAATAAATGGACAGGTATAATGTTTTTGGCTCATTTGTTTAACTGGGTTCTCTTTATTTAGTTTTAGGGCTGTGGAGAACAGACCACGTTTTAGGTCATATTTATGTAGAAAACTGAAAATTCAAAAGGGTTCACAAACATTTAAGTATCACTGTATATTACATAAAAAATAGAGAAATTACTGCATTAAATACCTGCTTTTTATTTGTTTTATATTCTAATTGTTGGTTTGATGTGAAAGTAGTGATCAGTACATCTAATGTTCTAAAAGAATAAACATAGATTTTTAAATTATAATTAAAGCAACCAGATTGTCAGCAATCAAAATAATAAGGCATTTTGCTCCGTATACAGGAAATACAGCTTCTTAAAGTGTGACTCACAGCTTCTTTTTGTCTGTTTTCCTTACTAGCTCTTGAAAAGAATTGTAGCAATCTTTCTGGTTTCTTTGAAATTATGGGAGAACTTGCTATGATGTGTCTTGAACTTTCAAAGAAAAGGTGGAATGTAAATGAAACTAATTAATAACCAAAAGCAATAGCTACAATATTCAGAATGTATGGGCCTTTAAATTTTGTTTACCATGTATAGACACTTTTTTACAGTCCCAAGAAAAGAAGATAAAATATTGTATTCTTTAATAACTATTGTTAACTACAACACATGAATTTGACTTCATTTCATGAAAGTAGACAATTTTTATTGGGAAATTTCACTTAATGCGATAAGGAACTTTCATATTGTCCACTTCATTGTTAGTAAGCATATTATTATGCTTGTTTTTGAGATTTTGGATCTACATATAAATTCTTAGCACACAAAAATATGGAATTGTGAAAGATAAGACTGTATATTCACTAGAATATATCTGATGGGAGAGGGCATATACGGAGTAATTCTCAGAACACTACAGGCAAGAAAATGGATATAGTAATGCTGATTTCAGCTTAATGCTGCATGCTGTCCATTTCATAAGGGTTAACAAAAAGAACTTATATGCGATTGAAGTAGACTGTATAGTAGCTTTTCATACAGTAATTTGATGCCAAAGGAAGGGGGCATTATGCACTGAGGACTCTAAGTAAATTCCACATTCTTTTCATGTGCAGTGAGGCCTTTTTCTGATGTCTCAGTGCGCATGTCTATCAGTCAAGGCATGTAGTGATTGCAGAGAAGACAATGTCAGTTATAACAGCCTATTTTGGGAATGAATATAGTCTTTTCTACCTCAGGTGCTCCTCTTCCTTTGTCCTCCTGCCCTTGTTCCAGCCATCCTCCATCTATTATTACTGTTATTACAAAAGTACTACTACGACAGTGCATAAGGTTCAGGGGGACCATAGTGGGGGCTATGAGTGTATTTGCATGAATGTGCTGGACTTTGAACAGGGAGCTCAGTGGTGACCTAGATTCAAGTCCCCACTTCACCACAGACACTGTTCACTGGATGGCTTTGGGCCAGCCATTCTTTCTCAGAATAACCTCTGTGCAAAACAGATTTGAAGTCTAAAAAAAAAGATATAAATGCAGTAACAAATAAATGTGTGTCAGTGTGCTTAAGAGTGTGGTGTATTTTGGGGAGTGTTTGGATTTAAGTGTATGTGTGTGATTGAATATCTCTGAATTAGTGTGACTAGATTTATATGGGCATGTTTGCTTTTGAATGAATGTATAAGAGTTTGTGTGTCTTTCATGTATGTGCCTTTGATATTTATGTGTCTTCAATGTTTTAATTAATTTCAACTGCTCTGCCCATTTTTAAATGTACCCAGGCAACTGTTTATATAGCCAGGCAACTCTTTACATAACCTCACCCACTTTTTGAGCATGGTCCTCCTCATGCTCCTAAAAGCATGTCTGGCTTTTAGTTCAACAAAAGTTGCATATCCTTTCTCTAGCCCCAGAAGCTAGCAGGATAAGAGCCAAGACCATGAGAGGCTCACTTCTTCTTGGCTGCTGCACTTGGGAAGAACCTCAGCAAAAGCAGCTGCTGCAGCAGGTACACTGTCCTAACTTACATATGTGACAGATTCTTTATTTAACTTGCAGTGTGCCAGATTTGCGGACAAGAAGATGGAATGGATTTCATGTTTTTTTTCAGGAGTGAGGGATGCCTTTTTCAAGCCTACATATGACCTTTTTCTTTCTTCATTTGGATTTAGAGGATGGGGAGGCCAGGAGTGTACAAAATTAAGAACCTTGAGTGTTTTTACCTTGTTTGGAATTGGTAATCTAAGACTACAATCCTATGCATACTTACTTGGGTGTGAGTTGCATGCCTTAAACTAGGTAAAACAGTATCTCCAGAGTATTCTAAAATGCTCAGATATGGTAACCATTTTTTTTAATGTTTATTTTATTATATATTTTTAACAAAACAGCTAAATAGAGAGCTTCTGTTTTGGTGTATATATAAATATAGTTAACTAAGAAAAAGGAACTTGACATTAAAACTTTAAGAGCCTAGGCCCTCGGTGAGTTTAGGAACCTGCATGACTTCCCTTTAACCCAGGATAGCAATGTTCTGATTATATTTTTCAAGATATATTTATAGTGCATGGCTTTTTTGAGATTGTATCTTACTAGGTAACCTATAGTTGGCATTATTTCGTAGATGCCTATTTCAGCTTCATGAATATTTATTGTAACCAAGTTTTGTCTATGTTAGAATCTGAAAAAATACTGCTCTTGGGGAATATTTAAGATTTTTGAGTGATTATTAGTTATTGCTACACTAATGTAAAGCTAAACCACACGAACATAATGATCATATGAGGTTGGCAGCTGTTTATATGTAATCAAACATCTACAATCCATCAAATATTGGGCAACAGTAAGTAAAATGTGAGCAATAAGGCAAGCTAAGTTAGAGATAAATGGTTTCTTATACTTCCCCTGTAATTCTTTTGCTACTACAGGTCAAAAATTCTCCTAAGGAATTTTATTTGGGCTAAAGGCAGCTGGAAGTTATTGTGCATGACACTACAAAACTATTCTAAGTAAATCATTGGGTGAAAGGATACTATTAACCCATCAGGAGATCAGCATTCTGCAAAGCTGGCAAGGTAGTGACTAACAGGATAACATAACATTATCGTAGGGTCTTTCCAAATGATTTTTTTAGCACAGTTAATTGCACAGTTGTTGCGCATGATCCTGACATGTTTCTCAAGGTTGCGCTTTTTCAGTGATATTTCATTTTCTCAGTTTGCAGGATACAGTATTTCGTGCCTGAGAAAACAATATTTTTCCTCACATAGTTAACGAATCTACTTTAGTTGCAACTACTCTAAGAGTGGCATTATATTCAGACAAGTGAGGGAAAGTTATAATAAGCATGACAGTGTACATTCTCGTAGCCTGTTCCTGATTTATGAAATGTGGATCCTTTGTACTAAGAATTCCAAATTCTCTTCATTGATAATTTGTCTGATTAGAACAGTGTCCTTTATTAGTTGGTACTCCAAATTATCATTAGTGACAAATTCTATAACTTAAGAAGAAATGCCTATCAAGGTTTTCATTCAATAATGATTCATTATTTACAGAATCTCAAGATTAGTATTCTCATTGATGATAGTGAAATACCTTCCTGAAGGCAACAGATTTAGAATTTTATGAAAAAGTTGCAAATTGTTGATTTCTAATTTATTAGACCAGAAAGGGAAATATGCACAAGAGAGAAAGAGAAAGAAACATTTGGGTGGCTTTGGATACAGATTACCTGCAGTTGGAGGTAGATAGTATGAACTGTAGAAAGACTGTGGTAGAAGGCAGTATGCCAAGTTAAATCAGTAAAAATTTTAAAAATTTTATGCTTTTACTGGCAAAAAATATTAGTAACATTCTTTTTACTTTAGAATTTAAAAGCTTTTCTTTTTCGGTTTCCAGTCCTGAGATTAAAAAACACTCTATTTTTTTATACAAGCAAGTAGTAAACATTGAATCAGCTTGAAGAAGATAAAATTTATTTATTTATTTTATTTATTATTAAACTTGTATGCTGCCCATCTCCCCCAACGGGTGACTCTGGGCGGCTCACAATAACAAAAATTTATAACCTTTTTTTAAAATTTGAGGATAGTACATAATACTACAACACAAAAGGTGATTTCACACACTTTTCCAAGCTGCTTAGGTCAGTATTTTTCAAACTTTTGAAGACACTTTTTAAATTCCATATAAGATTGCATATGATGGCATATTTCACCCATAGTTGAAAACTTGGAATCAATGTAATATTCAGCCTATCAATACTTGTCTTCATTAAAGTGATGTTGAAAATCTATCTTCACAAAAATATGTAGAAGAAAAGTAAGTACTGTTGTAACCTTAATTCTCGTCACTTGAAAGCTCATATTCTTTGTGAACATTTGTCCACAAATTTTCTAGTGATGAGGTTTTTTTCAGTATTTTCAATGTTGTACTAGAGGAAAAATACTTCCCACAACGTTCATGGATATGTTACTTATTTGACTAAAGAATTTGAATTTACCAAGCTCCCCCCATTCTCTATGAGATCTTGGGATCAGTTCATAGAACACTTCCATTCTGTTTGGGCAACATTGGTGTTGTATAGCAAAAGCTGCATGGAAATGATTATTTGAAAGGGAAATTTTGAAGTAGAAGGAAGACTTAAAGACAGACTTTGGCCCGAACATATTAACACCTATGGCTCTCTGTACTGTGACTGAGAGTATAGTCTCACATAAATCAATAGATAACCAGTACATGGGTAGCAACAGTCTCATCAAAAAAGGTTATAGTTGGTAACTCATCCTCAGGTGATAATAAGTGCTCCTGCCCACTGCACCAACACAAGCACTCAAGGACAGAGCAAAGTCAAAGATTACTTATAACCTGCAGATTGATGCTCAAGAGATCCATCAGATTGAGCACACCAAGCCCTCATACTATCAGAAATGTCTGGGTTAAATTTCAGTGGGGTGGGCCACTCTTGGGAAAGGCAGCCTTGGTGTTTAAGACAAATACCATGTTCTGGACCACTGTGCTCAGCCCCAGGACCTGGCCTCCATAGCTTTGGCAACTCTAGACTCCAGCTGTTGCTACTTAATGCCAGGTCAGCTTGCAATAAAATCCCTCATCCATTACTTGGCTATGGATGAGAGGGCTGACCTTGCTTGCATCACCAAAACCTGATTGGGCATGGAAGGGGGTCCCCTCTCGGAAATGTGCCCTCCAGGATTTCAGGTGTAGCACCAGCCACAAATCCAGGGCAGGGATACAGGAGTGGCTCTTGTTATCCTGGAGTCTTTGGTAACTTTTAGTGGTGCTGCCCAACACATAGACAGGTATGAGACTCTCTTTGTGAGATTGGGCCATAGGGATCAGTTGGGACTGCTGGTTATTTAACTTTGTTCTTGCAGTGTAGCAGCATCCTGCCCAAGCTCCTCAACTATGAGGCTGAGTTGGCAGTGGAGTTCCCTAGGCTTATGGTCCTGGGGGATTTCAACTTGACTTCTTTGGGGACACAGTGGTGGCTTGGGAGTTTATGACAACCATGGACCTGATCCAACTTATTGAGGGCCCAACCCACAGTGGAGATCACAAATTAAATCTTGCCTTTGTCTTGGGGTGGTGGCAGTGTGATCTAGGCTCAGGGGATGTTAACTTCAGTCCCATGCCATGGACAGATCACACCTTCTTGGCTGTGGAGTTCTCCACATTTACCCCCCACTGCAGGAAAGTGGAGCTTCTTTGATTAGCTTGTCCCAGGTGACTGATAGACCCAATTGGGTATCAGAAGGAATTTGGGGTTTTTCCAGAATCTCTAGGGCACAGTTTGGCTGAGACCTTGGTTGCAACTTGGAATGAGCATGTGACAAGCACCCCACGCTAACTGTCTGTGATTGGGGATCCTGTAGAGTTCCTCAGTTTACTGAGGAGCTTCAAGAGATGAAACAATGCGGGTGAAAGTTGGAGAGGCTGACTGAGCACAAGTGAGAGCCTTTATTAGGACTTACCTCATGATGATAAGAGCAGTGAAGCAAGTTCACTTTTCCACTCTTATTGCGTCTGCAGATAGCCAGCTGGTATCCCTGTTTAGAGTGACCAGGCTCCTTCTGGGTAAGGAGGGGTCAGGGCAGACCTTGCAGGGCTGCTTTGAGGAATATTCTTAGTGTCTGTCAGATACAGTTGCTCAAGTTGAATGCCGGCTGGACAGCCTCTATAGAGATGACCAGGGCATGTCTGAGCTAAGTTATGTGGGAAGAATTTGAGCCAATTATTCCTGAGTAAGTAGACAGGATCCTTGGGGCTGTGTGTTTTGCTACCTGTGTTCTGGACCCATGTCCCTCCTGTTTGGTTAAGTCTTCCTGGGAGGTGGCATGCAATTGGGTCGGAGCAGTGAATAATACCTCGTTGCAGGAGTAAGCGGCGTTACCTGCCTTGAAGGAAGCAGTAGTATGCCCTCTTCTCAAGAGGCCATCCTTGGACCTGACCATGTTGGACAATTTTTGCCCAGTCTCCAACCTTCTCATTTTAAAGAAGGTTGTTGAGAAGGTGATAGATACTCAGTTTCAGAGGGCCCTGGATGAAGTGGATTATCTAGCCCTTTTCAATCAGGGTTCAGGCTAAGTTACAGGACTGAGACGGCATTGGCTGAGCTTGTGGATGACCTGTGGAGGGCTCAGGATGATGGTGATGCATCCATCCTAGCCTTCCTAGATCTCTCAGTGGCATTCAGTACCATCAACCATGGTATCCTTTTAGACCTGCTTCAGGACTGGGAGTGTGGGAGTACCATTTTCCAATCATATTAAAAAAAAAAAAAAAACTTATGTTGTGAATTTTAAAAGATAAAGTGCTCATGGTAAGAATTTTTCCTGTGGCTAGTTATGACTTTACTCCACCATAAGAGAATAATATGCCATTACAGAAGTCTATATTAAGGTGCCAAGTATAAATACTAAATTGGATTAATTATGAATGGGCATATTTCCAATAAAGGATAGAATAGGTATGCCTAATATTGCTGATTTCAAAGGAAAAGAAATTAAAGCCTGGTTTATGCTTTACAGTCATTCTTAGTGATGAAGTTCCAGGGCCTAGGAACATCTATTTATTCTTTATTTATATTAATTAAAATGCAAATTTAATTGCACCATGTCTTTTTTTGTTTGTTTTCTATATTCAAAAGTAAAGTTGTTAAATTCAGGAGACTCTGTTTTTCTCCCAGTTTACGTGTAAATCTAGACATGGGCAAAGCAGCATATGGATGGATGATTATGAAGGATGATAATATACCTGGAACAGTTGTCCGGACTAGTACCATACCTGAAGAATTGGGACGTCTTGTATATCTATTGACAGATAAAACAGGTACATCTTGGATTTGTATTTTATGGATGAACTTTATTCAGGAAACTACTGGTGTCGATATATATTAGCCAGTATTTCTTGATTAGGTGCTTCAATATAATTGTCAAATTAGTACCTCTTACACAATACAATTTTTGGTTATATATATTGGTGATTAACTGTGTAAAAGGCACAATATGGAATTTAACCATCTACTCTGTGTAGATGGAAAACTGCAGTATGTGTGTAAATTACAAGGCTGTGCTTACACATCCAAATGTGCAGATAGCAATTTTGTTGATGTATGTATGTGTGTGGGTGTGGGTATATGTGTGTGTATGTATGTATGAAGGGTTTTAGTAATTATTTTCTGCTTTATGAGAAGATTACTAATTTCATTTTAGAGAAGAGGAACCAAAATGAAAATAACTTGTGTAGGATTTTAAGCCAAAATTTTGAAGGCTGTTAGTTATCACTATTCAGTATCTAAACTGGTAGAAATAAAGTAGGATGGACAAAAGAAAACATACAAGTGCTGTATTTAAGATTCATATGGATACATTAGTATTTCCACATAGTCTCAAAGTTGGATTATTCAATAGCATACCTAATTTCCCCACTAAATCCTTGATGCTTAATTTCAATCACTATGATTCTTTCAGCCATTTGTATGAATGATCTCTTGATAGGTTTGTCCCATCTTACCACATACCACATGTTGGCTTGCCTATATTGAAAATAAAACAAGAATAAAGCAAAAGCTTGCAAATACCTTACTGTGGCTCTAGTTTTTCTTGAAATGATTAAGAATTATTTGTAAAGTCTAAAGAGCATTACATTACTAACATAATTGCAAGGTAGTCCTTTGTATGATTGTAAATTGGGTTTGTGCTTCATCAATAAGCTTTTTGACAAGAAGCGTCCATCACTGTGGCTCTCTCATTTGCCACAGCAGAATAGAAAATGAAGTATCCCAATGATTGCATTATAGTTTCCTTATTGTGGGACAAGAAAGCAATGTGGTATAATTAGGTTTGATTGGAGTGCATGTTTCCGGTAAGATCTGAAATTAATGATGTTGCTATAGTGACACATCTGCGGCCACCAGTGCGTGAAACATAAAGTAATTCATTCGACAAGAGAAGACATCTGTTAACCGCAAGGATGCAGAGCATATTGACACTGACCAGAAATACTAGACGTTATGTGATAAATGAACAAATGATGCTTAAACAGGAGGACAGATAATTTGTACTTAATCTGCTGGGAGAACTTTAATCTTCTCACTGGCTGCATTTGACAATACCATTGTTTAAAGAACAATGCTGCAGAGAACTCATAAATTTTAAAACTTAACTCAGGGTGCAGCCTATTAAAGCAATACATTAATTCCTTTGTTAGGGAGTTTTTATCTTCATGTAGAACAAAGCCATTACTAAAAACACCCACTAAAACAACAGGTTCTTTAGGACTCACATTTTAATTATAGCATCCATTACCCAAAGTGCCAGGTTGTTTGGACTTGAATCACATATAAGTTTGACAGAAAGGCGTCATCCATTATTGGGGGGAATGCTGTTTCCAGTGTTTTCCAAGGGCAGCTGAGCATGACATTTCAGTCTCTCTAGGGCATGAAAGTTCCTACAACAAAGAGAAAAAACAAAGATACTTGGCAATATTTATTTAAGTTTTTGACATCTAGAGTGTGATACTGCAACTTCCCTGCCTTTCCTGACAGCAACCATAGTATTCAATTATAACAAATAAAAACCATCTTCCAAGCACAGTTATTTACTAATGCATATGCGCGCATTTGAGTGCTGTAATTAACATTTTAGCGGCTGTGTGGACCAAATGAGATACTTAACACATGTAATAGTTGAACAGATGCATAGAGTAATGGAATTCATAATCTACTGGGGAAGCCCTGTAATAAGAAATAATGTGTTAACACTGGAGGTTTGTGTTTAGAATTTATCTACAGTTAACATATGTTAAGCATTACATGGCAAAAACAGGAACATCCTTTTATAAATTAATGCAGATCATGAATTAGTATTTTGGATAGCCAGGTAATGGTATTTTCTTCTAATTATCCATATTTTGGAATGACTTCATAATATCAACTACTTCCATATATACATAAGAGGTAAGTGGAAATCTGGATAAGGCCTTGTTTATCATAGTACACCAATTGTAAAACTCTCTTGGATGAGGTCTGACTGGGCTGTTCTATTCTTTGTCTAATTTTAAGTTTAGTTTTCTTTCTCAAGGCTTCTGAGTGATTTTAAATGTATTAGTCCTGCCCATTGTCATTAAATAGTTCTCTTTTTAATTTTGTTCAGTTTTCTAAAATTGTGCCCTAATTTTAAAGCTCTAAACTATTGAATAGTGTTCATTCTTGGCCAAAGGACAACTCAGAAATATTTCTATTTAAATAAATAAAAGTTTATCCAAGAAAAATATGCTAGTATGCTTTGCTCCCCTGCAAGGGAGCACAGCTAAAAAAATCACAGAAGGTTCATTCATGATTTGTTTACCATATTATCTAGATCACAGTGTCAGGTTTCTTCCTATATGCTAAACCATAGTTTTGGTGAACTCTGACATGGGCTTATGGTGCAAATACCATCAGTCCCTTTATCTAGCTCATCTTTCTTTAGCAATGAATAATGCTGCATGTGTTCCCATCTTCTTTATCATATTTCCTCCAGGGAGCTCAGAATGTGTAGGATGTTAGAAGAACATCTTCTGAGGAAGATTCAGTATCCCCTGAGACAAAGACTTGAAATTCCAGTCCCTTGGAAGACTCTTTGGTGATCACCATGATCCATAATTTCTCATTTCATGAGGTATCTATGGCCACATGAGGATGGATCTATCAATGTCAGCAGTAGGACCACATGAGGATCTATTTTGTCATTATTGCTTCAACTCTCAAACTTATTAAAACAAATTAAGAGAGGCATGTTGGGGCTAAGATCTGTTGGCCCTTACCTAAAATGCAATTCTTCCACGTTGGTACGCTGAAATGATAGGACTCATTAAAAATTAAATTAAATAAAAATTAAAAATCCTTACAAATATTTATTAAAGATTCTTATACATACTGCATTCTCCATCTGGTACCTATAAATGTGATGTTCCTTCATATGAATTGGATGAGTATTTATATTTCCACATATGGAATGATCAAATGTAGTGTCCAGTGGGCTTTGCAAGGAACTTCAGTTTTCTTCATTTTCACTACAAATTATTGAGCCCATCTTCAGAGTTGGGAAGCTGTAGTCCTAATCAGATAAAAAGATGACTCAATATTATCTTTTAAATTAGGCATAGCAAATTTCAGGCCTAATCTTAGGCTGCCAGCTTTCCTCATCAGGCCATAAAAATCTCAAGGAAACCTATAATATTCCTGAAATATTTCATCTTGTGATAGAAGAAGGAATTCTTCACAAAAACTCCTTACCTTTCTGTTAGCATAGCAAGCATGGATTTTGGAGAGTATCTACATTCCCTAGCCAGTTTCAATTTGTCGTTCCATTCTATCTTACTTTCATCAGGTCCAAGTCCTCTAACATCTCTATATTATTTTTCTTCTGTGTTTAATGATATAATTGTGGGCAAAGCTATTTAATTCTATAAAGAACATGTTTGATAAATAGCAGTCTAGAAATCTCTCATTAAAATTTCTGGAGTTTGCTACTTATAAACAACACTAAAACATTAGTAAAATTCTGAAAACGTGTTTTAAAATTAAGCAGTAAATTAAATTATAAGAATTTGTTTTGTCCAATTATATGTGACAACAGAGCTCTATTTAGGAGTCTACAAGCTGGTGTTTATAACTTTTTCTCTGTGTTGAGAAAATGTACATACATGTGCCTCAAGGGGGCAAGGTATCAAAGGCCTGTTTTTGTCACCACAGCAACAGTGTCGTGAAATTATTCTGAGGAGTTTTTCTTTGCAGGCGAGCTATATTTTGTTACTTGTATTATCTAACAAAAGACTTCTATTCCCTTATTTATTTTTGGTTTCTTTTACTGACTAAATTTATCACTGCTAGCAGTAGGCAGAATGTTTCAAATGCAAAACATTTTCTGCTCCAAACAGCTGGCTCAAGTCTGAAATGGATTGTTCCAACCATTCTGGAAGTGCTTGAAGCAGGTCTATTTCAGGTGCAGTTTTGAGCTTGAAATGGTTCCTGAAGGTCTGAGTGACCCATACTGAAACTGAAAGTACTATTTCAAACTTTAAATGCTGTGTTTCAAGTTCAAGTAACATTTCAAATTTATTTTACACATCTTTAAATTCTGCCTTCCACCCTCCTACCAGGAAATGTTCAGCATTCACATCTGTTGGTGAAATTTGTTTTTAAGATATTTGTTTGTTTGTTTGATCATTTAAATAATCTATAAGCCTCCCAACTCCCAGTGACTCCCAATGACATATAATAATGCCTTATGCCTTACGTCTTAATGAATTGTTTGAATTATTTGAAATTATGGTGTGTGCAAACTCTACATCACTGTTTCTCAATGTTAGCAACTTTAAGATATGTGGACTTAAACTCCTAGAATTCCCCAGCCAGCATAGCTTTCACTTCAACTTGGTAAGCTTGCAAATTATTTACTTTGCACTCTGACTCAGCACATGATGTAACATACTAAATATTGCTTTTACTTTTAGTTTAAGTCAAAACTTTATTTTTTTTTTCCAATTATTTTCTTTTATCCAATGGATGATAGCAAGTGCACTTTCTATAGTTGTTTTTTTGGAGGCATTAGCTTTATCTGAGTAGGATACCATTTTTGTTAAGGTGACATTAAGATGGCCAGTGAATTTTCTCTTAACATTTATCCCACTGATTGTTGCTGCATTCAAGCTATGTTGCAGACTGAAGGGGAAATCTTTTCTTGATCTTATTAACTTTTTATAAGGGAAATGGGCCCTTCTCCCTTTCT